GGCCATCGCTACTGGGTTGGAGGCCGCTGCTAGGTTGGAGCCCATCGTCCCATCGCTAGTATAGGTTGGAGGCCATCTCTACTAGGTTGGAGGCCATGGCTGCTAGGTTGGAGGCCATTGATATTGGGTTGGAGCCCGTCGCTACTAGGTTGGAGGCCATCACTATATACTAGGTTGGAGCCATCGCGAATACTCGTAGGAAGCCTGACCGCCGGAAAAGAACCCCCTGGATTGGTTGGATCAAAACAGATTAGTTGGGAGGTCACACTCTTCCTATCAATCCAAGCACATCCAAGCACGTGCTATTTACAGATTCTAGCGCAAAGACTCAAAGACCGTAAATAGAATGCTGCTTATTCGAACATTCAACAAAGCCATGTTTACGCAATTTCACGCCGTGTTTGTCGTGTTGACATGCGTTCACACAATTTCACGCAAATGTCATGTGTTTTGATATGTTTTGATGTTCAACTTGGGATGGATGACCCATGTTCATGCCTGCCAAAGGGTCTACACAGGCTGTTCCAATCCACCCTTCCCAGTCGACGATGTTCCATTTACTTTCTTTAGCACCAAGTATGTGAATATCGCAACATGTCTCACCAAACACGTAAATACTGCGGGATTGGCCGAGTATGTGAATAATACATGATTGGATATGATTGGATTGTCAGGACAAAGGAAATAAAACATATAGTGTCTCAGTGTCTCAACAACCCACATGCTTTTGGTAACGGTGAACAGTATTCATGGCACTTGGATGCTCATGGCACTTGGGGCCCTTCGGGATCATGGTCATGAAAGGCCACATGTCAAAGCCCCTTCTGTTTGACTCTGCCAAGTGCAACTGTCCAGCTGGAGGCCCATGGTGCACTTACCTTACTTCTGGTCGCAGAAGGAAAGACAGACTCTGGAGCCTCCAGAGGCAGGTCGAAAGGGAGACCCTGAGGGCCTGTCAAAGACCCCACATCTCCACTTCGACCCTCACCCTGAGGGTGTATTTTTCTAACCCCATGGATGACTGGTCTGTTTCTCTTCTTCCAGGGGGTCAAACTGGGAGGTCTCCCTATTTTATGTGGACCCCAGAAGTCTCCGAGCATGCTTCATACAATTTACAATGGACAACAACAGCTCCAAAAGGGTGCTCAATGGACAAAAGTTGGTGCACATTCTCCACTGCGGTACAAAGCCAGACCAACATTGAACTGCTGGATGACGGCTGAGTGGGTAATTCTTTGGGGAATGCTTTATTAATTTTATTCGACCCCCAAATTCCCCGGGCTCGCGATGGAGAAGCTTCTCGAACAAAAAACGAACTGAGGCGCCCGCCCATTTTGTGACTCTGTCCTTTGCTCATGGCCCTGGGGTTGGTGCCATGAACCTGCTCGGATGCGACGGCTCACACCGACACGCACCACTCAGCCTGCCCGCGGACGGCGCGACCGGCGAAGTATACGCAGCGCCGTTGGGTGAAACCGAAGGGGCGACCACGGACGTGGTGCGCGTAGCGCACCCTGCAGCGCTACGGTGGGGCGCCCACGTGGGGCCCACGTGCCCAGGGGAGTTTGCTCAAGTTGGACCCCGCCTGGCGAAACTGGCGGCCTCGGCTGCCCATCAGCCGCTCGGAGTTTCTTCTTTTTCTATGTCGGCAGATGAGGCTTCTGGGGGTGAGTTCAATGGGGGTCGTTGGCGATCTCAACCGCTACTGAAGAGTTTGAGTATAGTGGTCTCTTAAATAGATAGAAACTGTTTCCAACAATTACATTTTAGTGGGGGTCAAAAAAAGAGTCTCCAGTTTGCACCCTAGATCATGTATATGACGAGTTTTATGTCATATTATGCGTATTATGCATCATTGTCTTTGCACATGTTTGCACAATTACTTGGACCCTCCCAAGTCCCGTAGAACATGTCCCCAACGAAGACCTCTAAGCCTGTGAGTGGCGTGGACGTTGTTATTAACACATGTTTGGGGAACGTGGCTCCTCACCTGCGTGTTGATCCTGTTTGATGGATATGGACATGTTATGTGGACAGCGACTTGGATGGACATGTCCACAAATCTATCCGGACCCTCCGCTGGTACATGTTCGTACATCCAAGTATTCCGGTCAAATGCAACAACCTCAGACCCATTGGTAGCACCAATTGATCACTTGTAGAGCCTGCGATTGGTACTTTCAGGTTCTCAGTCTCAGATTTTGAGATAGCTTTGCGCGAACTCCTGGAAACTTGAGTCTTTATCTGCAGGAACATACCAGACACTGGCCAGAGGGGTAAAATCATGCGATCAACTGGTGTTTCGTAGCGGAAAGGGAAACTGTTCAAACACAAGTGCAACGAGCAGTACATGTCAAACAAATACATCTGAAGCGATACCTGAACTCATAGCTGAGATACCTGAGATACTGATCCGTGTGAGTTCTGTAGAAGCTACACACTCATGTCATCCGCTCAACGCCACCATCTTCGGCTCAAGACCCGACGCCCCGGGGACTGGCCGCAGCCGTCCAATCAGAAGAAGCGTCAGGTCTGCGACGCCCGGTCGGGCGAGAGTCCGGTGAGGGCTGTGAGGTTTGGGGTCGGTACACAACAGCAAAGGATTTCACCAGCTGAGCACCAGCTGAGACATCTCAAAAAATCAAACCATTTCACCAGCTGAGTACCTCAGCTGTGGTTCGATTTTTCACCAGGATCATCATGTGCAACCTTTGTTGATCACCCTGAGACACGATGATCTATACATCAGTGGATCATCTTCCGGTCCTAGAAAAATTGATCACCTGTCACCTGCCAAATGATTTTTTGGGGGAATTGGTGTCCCAGCGACATGGAACAAAAGGATGAAACAGGTTCACATGGGTTAACCATTCCAGAGATTTCTGGGGAAACTTAGGGAGTCAAAGAAGGAACTCATCAACCAATCCCTAAGAGTCCAGCAGCATCCGAGAAACGACCTTTCTTGGCTCCAGTTCGACCTCTAGTACTCACCTCCCAAAACGACCGAAAGGGAGAGGTACACCGACCCTAACCCTATATGGCAGGTGGGTCAAAACCCGGGCACCGTGGTTGACCCCTGAAAATGATTGAAAATGAACAGATTCCATCAGATTCCTTTATAAGGGATGTCAACCTCCCATGGTTTGGTGGGGGAGGTTTTGACTCACAGCCATATGAGAATCAGTTTACAAGAGTAAAACACTGGACCCAAAGAAAAATCGTTTTAACTGTTCAATCTTGCCGAGCTGCGAACCGGGCGTTGGAAGAAAAAGACAGGTCCGGTCCGGCTGCCAGTCCGGCCGCGTCGACTGCCGGCAGAGCCCGGAAATACCTGGAGTCGACCCGTGAAAGTACCTCGGAAAATGGGTACAAAGATGGTACATGTTTGTACTTCGGTTCATGTCCCATTTTCTAGGGTACTTGAAGTCGGGTCCAGGTAAAATACTTTTGGTGTGCTTTGGTTCTGAGGGTTCTTTTGGTTAAAGGAAAGAAACACGTGAGGAAGGTGGTTGGTGCTCACCATTGACATCGATGCGATTCACTGCACGTCGAATTGCCCTCATTACACCAAGTCCTTTCACATGCAGAAAACAGTTACTAAGTAACTCCGGTGCAGCAACTGGACTTTTACAAGGCAGAGTGCTGCATGTAATTTTGACATGTTTTGTGCTTGACTTCTTGAAATAAAAAAGAACACCCTACTTTGATATATCAGGTAAATTTTGCTAATTCTCCTGGTGTTCTGTGAGGTGGGCTACTAATATTTTGGTGTCTTATGGAATAGCTAAAGTTACAAACATAGATTGATGTTTTCTATTTCCTGTAGTTTACCCACGCAAAACTTTGCCTGGAGTTTGTTAATGTTTTGCGTGTACACTGGATGACGCTGAGCTGTGTGAGCAGAAGTGTCTTTTTGGTAGTAGTCGGTTCCATGCAATGCAGGCTATGTGCAAAAACAATACGCATGTAATTGCAAAATTAGACACTCCCCCCCCACACTAACAGCCAAAAAAGATACTTAAACTTAAACACCCACAAACAAAGGCAGAGCAGAAGCCAGGGTCCAAACCCAAGGCAAATTCACAGGTGCATTCCCAGCCACATGAGCAAGGCCATTTGAAAACAAGGGGTGCGACAAGGTAAAATCTACTGGCAAAAAATGTGGATGAGTAAAGCTCATGAACACATATGTAGTAGAAGCATGGCCTTGTCCTGAGAATCTGCTGAGGATTCCTGTTTGCCCCATTAATCTTCCCTACAAGCTACTAGTGTGAGCAGTGTGTGTATGTTGTAGGAAGTCTTATGCCATCACTAGTTTTCGCAACCAAGGGTTTGCGGCCTTGAATTTATGGTTTCCTTTTGCAGTACCAGCGTAAGCATCCGCACCAGCAGCACCAGCACCAGCACCAGCAGCGCCACTGTTTTGTTGTGCATTTGGTTAAATTGTGGTTTTGTTTGTGCTCACTGTTAGTGTGACGAGGCAATGTACAATCTATATCATTAGTGTTTCGGGGTTCGAATTCCGATGGAAACATGACCTTTGCATACCTTTGCCAACTTCAGAGACTGGTTAGGAAGTTGCCAGCATAACAAGGAAGAACACCCGGCTCACTGACATGTTTCTGTGTTTCCTTGGTCGCCGAAGTACTCAACTGAGACAGGGATCAGTGCTGAGTGCTGTATGGAAGTGTCCAAGATTGACAGAGCATGATTTGGAAAAGCGAATCATCAAAAGAAAAAGATGGCTGGAGGCTGGAGGTTCTGAGCTTGGAATTACACAAGCTTGGCTTGAACCCTGTTTGTGCAGCCGTTGGCTTCCATCCGCTGAGCATTCGGGGCAAACGTCGGGAACGAGAATGCAGGAGCACACGTGAAGCGATTCGATTTGCTGGGAAGCTTCTTCAATCGGTCTTGACAGAGCTCACAGACACACTTGAGGAAGAGTCCAGTGGCTGCAGTAGTGATTGCAGAGATGGACAGGAAGAGGGTTGAAGCGATATTATAATATGGAGTCATGCTTTTATCCAATTCCAAGCTGTGCAATCCAGCTTGGTTCAACTAGTTTAGTGTGGGCCTTTTCACACGTGATGCTGTGCTCTGCCATGGCTAAATAGCTTGCAAGGGTGTGACGAGGGTGTATACTTCAACCAAAACAGAAACACTTCAAACACATTGTCTTAAGTTCACAAGTGGTTCACACGTTGTTTAAAGAATTGTGTTTTCCCTTTGTGTATGTCCAAAACGAGGCCCAAGCGTGAAAAAAACAGGCCCAAGGAGGCCGGGAAAGAAACAGAGATCCAGTCGTACCTTCTCAAAAGGTACGACTGGACCCTCCTGGCACCTACATAACAGTGTCTCCTTCCTCACCTGAGAAGGTACTGTACTTGGATCCCTACAAAAAATCAATCGATGGGTAGAAATACCCCACACAGCACCCCAGACGGCACCACACAGCCATTTCGGTGTGATGACCTGGCAGCCCTTGGGCTCAATCCCCATGGGCCCTCGGACCCAAATCGCTCAGACGTTGGGCCCTTCTGGCCCTTCTGGACCCTCTCGCGGCAGGGGATGCTGACCTTAGAGGGTCTGATTCAAGACATTATCCAAAGGAGAGGCAAACTGGGCAGCAAGGAGCGCTTGTTTCTTTTTTTGCGGCGAGAGACGTTTGTTTGTGCGAAAAACGGAAGGCAGTTGGGGGCGAAGCATCCGAAGTATCCTAAGACGAATCCGTTCGTAGCACACCCACTGTGTAAACAGCAAGAGGATGTGGCTGGTGGATTTACATCACCAAACGCGAACGTCAACACTGATGAAGGGTGCAGAGGTCGTGACCGCCCTAACACAGGCCAAGTGACTTGAACTACGATGACTTGAGGACACCTGCAACCTGAAAACACAGGGCGGTGTATGTAATCATATGAGTATTTAGATATTAAGATTAAACAAACTTAGTAATTGTAGTAGATTAGTAAAGATAACAATAATGATTGGATGTGGGGAACATTTGGAACGGATGTCGTCAAGATCTGTGATCTAAAAATGACAGTGAACAGATCTATGTATATTGAACACCTCCACGCAGTTTAAATAGGGTTCCTTTACGAGCCCTCATGCATGTCACTGGGGAACTGGAATCAATGAAGTTTATGGAATTGGTATAAGCATGATTTGTCAAATAAACGAACCGGCAACAATATTTTGAGTGTTGTTTGCCCTCCGCACAATGGAACACCCGCAACACATGCGTTTCTAGTGGAAGAGTTCGTTTTCCCTCCGAGACACCTGAAAATATCGTTGAATTTCATGAACAGAAAGGGGTTGTATTATTATGTATTATTATGTATTTTGTGCACAATATATAAAGATGCCGCAACAACTGTTTGTTGGGGACAGAAGTTTGGTTGTATTCCATATTATGTAAAACCTTTCCGCAACAACTGTTCGTTTGGCCGGTTCAGCAGACTTCAGTCGGACATGTTGAGCTGTGCAGGAGGGAGCCGACTCGGCGCAAGACTACCAAGAGGCCCAACTGCTTTTCTTTCGGACGACCCCCACAATTTGTGCGACCAGAGTCGCAGACCCTGTCTGGATGGATTTGGGTGTTTGGTTTAATAGGGAGACACTCTGGCCCTGGCTGGGTAGACTGGTCAAGATTTGTACTTCTTCCAGCCTTTTTTTAAGACCTGGTAGGTCTCCCTATTTGAGCTACACACCCATTTGGGATGTTCAATAAGGCATATGGGCCCGACATTACCCCGTTGGGTGCCAGGAGGGTCCAGCCAAACCGGATGTACACAAGGAGCCCTAGGGACAGGTACGTACGTAAAAACGAAATGGGTACGTACGTACCATCAAGTACCTGTTCAATACTTCGGGTCATGTCCAGAGATCGCCGTTGGATATAGGTCGAACGTCTCATGGCCATACCCGGCTTCCTGTACTATCTAAACATGGTGTGTCTCACGACAGGGGGACCGACAAAAGGGAAAGTAGTCTAAATCCTATTGGTTGGAGGATCGTCATATTCCAATACTACACTTCCTTACCTACTTTTGGTTGAGTCTTGGGCACTGAAAGAGTCCAACGGACCAAATCAAGTGAAGTGTGGTGCAGTCTTGACCAGATGAACAAGCCGTTTGTCTCACCTGGGACCCTCCAGTTCGTACCCTAGGCCCTACAAAATGGAACATGACCTCATTGAAAAAGGCACCAATAACAAACAATCAAACATGTACCTGGTTTTTCCAAGTGACCTTTGAACCCTTCTTTCAGGTTGTGAACAGGTCTGTAAAAGGCCACTGGAGACCTCAAACTTCTTCGGTCACATACTGAAGAAGCTGGATCCTAGTTCCCCCCAAACTCTTGAGCTACAAAGTGACTCCAAGAGCTCCACCCCAACTCGCCCCAATTGACGTCCTCCCACCTCCACGAAGGGTACGGTTGGGCCCCTTTCGTGACGTCGTTTTCGGGAGTTCATCACGGCAGGTGTGGTTTGCGTATGCCAGCTATGTGAGATCTTGTCTGGAACAGAGGCGCGAGTCGGAGACTCGTCACACCATGTCACACCCGAGTCTCCTCTCTACCCACTCCTGCGCGACATGCTGGCGCAGGGGAGATCGATTGGTCGGGTTAGCAGCCTCCAACTGCAGAACCCAAGGTGTTTCATGCACGTTTTGGCATCCCATATATGATATATGTATGTAATTGTATGTATATATGTATATTTAATATATAACTCAATATATATTATGGTGTATATGTAATGTTCCAAGACCCAAGGCCTAGTGTTTTGTTTCTCTCCGGATGGATTTTGCAGTTTTCCTGAAAAGGCAACTATTTGTGCTGTTTCGAACATCCAGGTATTAATATTTAAGGATACGGCACGATCTACTGCAGGAGGACTGTATTTGGGCTTAAAAGCTGCTAGTCTGAATGTATATTGTTCTCCAGCAGTTCTTGCCATGTAAACGGAGGTTACTTGAACTGCCTGAAACAGCAGCAACCTGGCCAAATGAATCTATGGCACTCCAGGCAACCGACAGAGTCAGTCCTTTGTGACAGACGGGTGCAAAAAACCATCGTCACACGTTGCTGTTTGCTTGCAGGCGAGGGTTGCAGCTGAATAGCTTTTGCAAGATCGGCTGGACCATCCAGAAGAAGCTAGGCGGGGATGGCATCGGTTGCCACAGCGCATGCGGCGCATGCGTTGCTGCGGTCCACGGCACTGGTCTTTGACTCGGGTAGAACCAAGCAGGATCAGAGGTGTGAACCAGGATTAGACTTAGTCAATTGCGGCAGACTTTTTCGTCGTACTTTCTGTGGGTTTCAGAGATTTTATCACTTGCACATTCCCGGTCTCATGCCGGGTTGGATGTCCGCAAGTACTTCTCCGGTGAGGCAAGACCAGCTATCGGCCCTACTTTCACTTCTCAGATGCGTCGGGTCTCCGATTGGGTGGGATCGACCTCGAGGCAGCGCAGCTGGGGTCGAGCTGTTTGGTGCCTCAGAAGATGAGGGCAAGTACAGTCGTAGCTGTTTTGGGGGTTCACGCCATTTTCCATGTTCTATGGTACCAACTGAAGGGTCCAGGTAGAGATAAGTAGAGAACAAATCCTGAGACATCTTTACGGTGTGTCCAACTACCAGTAGCAGTTGGAAAAAGATTAGCACGATGTTTTCTTCCAAGTCCTTTACTAACCCTCATCATCCATTTCGCAAGATATCCTCGGCTTGGTGCTCATGATGGCTAGTCTCCCTTGAGACAACACATCTTGCGATTGGCTCAAACACACTTCTGGAAGTGACCAATGAGATCAGAATCAATCGAATTCACTCCTTCATGGGCCGGCATGGGTTGGGAGATCAGGATGGGTTGGGAGAAGCATAAAAAAAGTCAAAGATTGCGTGCCACTGGAGAAATCTTTGATTCTAGGAGCAAGGACGCTACTAGTAACAAAGGGCATCGCTACTAGTAACAAGAAGCTATTATATAGTAGCTCCTGGCATTTCTGCTAGGAGCAAGGACGCTACTAGGAACAGTCTTCATTATGTCAAATCGTCGCTCCAATGTTCAAGTGGGGGACCCCCTGGAAAGTTGTGATCGAGTTTCGATCCAGTCTCCTACATTGGCTGGGGATACTAGTATGAATGGATATCATGATGAGGTGCTGGAGAACTGTTTAACTTTTCTCCCCCAGGCTTTCAGCCAGACATGAACCGAACAAACATTAAAACCAGGGTTTTCCGCAAAAAACTCAATGCAAAGGGCGAACAAGTTGACTCCAGGCAGATTGGCCCTCCGATGTTCACCTATAGTAGAAGATAGTAGAAGCCCCCAGGCCATCCCAGGTCACGAGCCAGGCGAGGGTACCCTCTTGTTGACATAGGGAATGGCCCCAACAATCCATTAAAAAAGGGAGTACTGACCGAAAGAACGTGAAGTGCCTCCATACTTCAACAAGATCAAATGAATGGTTAGAGCACCTATCCATGTTTGAAAGATATTGTTGGATTCCATCATATTTTTGGGGCTTGTCCTATTAACAGTCGGAAAAAACATCATCACTATGTTTGAACAAGGCCTTTTCGACCCTTTTGGACCCTGGCTTTATATGGATTTATACCGTGATTTCTACGCCATTTCTACGCCCGATTCCGTCCGCCTCGTGGCTTCGATCGGCGCCGGACCAGACCAAGAGCACGATCGGCTCGGCGGGTCCAAGACGCTGAGGTTCGTGCGGTCATACCTCTCCGCTGAGGCCCGTCAGACGGGATGGGGCAGTGAACGTTTCAATCTCTTAGTGAGCCCATGTTGGGTGAAACCGCTATACCTGGAGTATCCTGGAGTCTCCTGGAGTACCGAAAGCAAATGAGCACTAGCACCTGTTTTTGTAGGGTCATGACATGTCATGACCCATTTTCTAGTCCATGTAGAACCGGTAGAACGGATGAAGCGTCGTTTTTGTCCATGCTTTCCATGGTGTCCGCCCTTTGTGCACACCGCGACATGTCGATGTTTGAGTCCTTCGTTGGGGTCGCAAGGTGGAGTCGGAACCGCCGAGCGAAGATGAGCCAGTCGGGTTCGCATGCAGCGCCATGGTTCGCCGAAGGAGTTCGTTTTCTCGACAACTCCCAGACGTGACCACGAGTTGTGACCTTTTGGGACCTAAGTGACCTCATTCTGGGATCTCAATCTACTTGGACCCTCCAAATGGGACGTGACCTCATAAAACCAGGTGTTTATACCCATTTTGCGAGGTACTTTGAGACTCCAAATATCTCATAAAGTATAGATTATCATTGATGGTTTCCAAATTCCACATGCGTGTTCCCCGGTCTACCCTACAGGTCAATGACCTCATTTTACTGGACAATGTATTACAAGTTCACACTACTTGAGGATGTAAGTTTGACCAGGTTCTGGGTCAGACCACACGTGTAGTACGGACAGGAGCATGCTGACACCTGACAAAAGACACATCAACAGACACATCCCCAGGGCCGTTCTTCTAGACCTCGCAAGGCCGCGCGAAAGAACGCCGCTGTGCCGGGCGAGCTGTGTAATTTCGAGGACTTCAACTTCAGCAAGGCACCGCAAAGTACCTGAAGTTCTTGAGGGTCACCTGACAGCCTGCCAGCCGAAAAGAGAGCTGTTGGATCAATGGAACTACGATATAGCATTTGGGGTCGGTTCGCCTTCAAATCATCGAAAAATCATGGGACGTCGACTTCGCATGGCGCACTCCGAATGGTGGTTCCGGATGATCCGGCGAACGAACGGCCCATCGGCCGCAAGACATGTTGGCACAGGGAACTGGTGGCCTGCAACTCACTGCATCGGTTGAGCGAGTGAGTCCGACAAAGCTTCAAGAGGATCTCAAAGCCACCGTCGGTTGAGGCTGAAAACCAACTCTGGCGAGCTGAAAAACCTTCAACTTAGCGGAAATTCCATGTGTTTCCGAAACAAAAGGGTGCCGGCAGTAAGCATGGCATTCAAACATCATTCAGCTTATAATATCTTATAATAGATATTCCATGATATTCCAGTGTTCATTCCCATTCCCAATCAATCAGAGGAGATGGTATGAAATGATTGAATAGTGTAGTGTAGTACACATTCCCCAGAGTATTGATCTTGTTCTCGAGTCATTCCATCAGACCCATATTCAAAGGCTCAGTCCTATCCCTTTTTGGTTCCTTTGAAACCCAATCCCAACCAGAAACGCTTCCGCTTGTTCCAAGTTCTAGCTTTCTTGAACTCCTTTACCGGAACTCGCTGGGACGGAGTTCCATCCAGAAAAACTGTTTCTGGAACTGGAACTGGGGAGTTCCCCGCTTGGCCCCTTCCACTTGATGCACGGATGAACAACGAACGCGGAGCTTGAACGCTGGCGTGATAAACCAGCGTGTGGTAAACCGGCGTGGATTCGGCCGCCAATTGTGGAAGACGGACCTGTGCCAGGCTGCATTGAAGTTTTCAAGGCAATTGACCAAGGACCAGGCGTCAACGTGCATGATTTCTTGGGTTGTACGATTTCTGGAACACGGAGGGGCTGGAATCACCAGGGAAATCGGAAAGTTCGACCTGGTAGAACTTGAAACATATAAGCCAGAAGGGCTGAAGGCAGGTCTAGTGGCAGGTCTCCCTACACTTGATTCTGAAAGTTTGTCAACTATTCATCAAGTTGGCTGAAGAATGGGTGTGGGTCTAAACTACTCGCTTAAAGCAACCATATCCTTTGGACTCCTTTGGGTCGATCTGGAGGATTCTTTATGACTCGAACGCTACGAACGGGGCTCCTGGCCTTCGACACGAAGACTCCATTGTTGGTTGGACACATTGTTGGACCACGATTTTGGACCGCTGCTCGGTGGTGACCAATCGTTTGCTGTGATACCAGTTCCAATATATTGTTGTTTAACCTGTATCTTAGGGCGTATATATATATATGATTGATTGTATATGATACTATATAATGTGGATTGTGTGTATATACACTGGGGTGCCAAAAGTTGCGCTTCTTGACTTCTAAAACATCACAAACCCTTTCCCCTTAGAATCCTACGTGCAACATGTCGACACCTCAGTTGCGGTCAGATTTCCACACCTGAAAGCCTTATAAATATTATAAATTTAAACGGGT